AAATTTTTTTCGTGCGGTTTACTGGACTTCTCCAGCGCGCTCCAGTTCAATTTTTCTGTAAGAATTGAGACCAATTTTAAAAACTGTCGCCCTTTCTTCTGATTATTTTTTTTCCCGAAAGGTTGTTGTTAATAAAAATATTTGTCCCAGTTTGGCAGTTTGGTATTGTTTAAGCTGATAGTCGGTTTTTATCCCGTTTCTTACTTAACTATGGTTGTGAGTCATGGACCATGACTGAAGAACTTCGATCCCCAGTGTTAGGTGTTTAAGATGAACTTTCTGAGACAATTCTAGACATTGTTTGAAGCTTCTCTTGTTCGAGAGAGCCTTGTGTACAACCTGTTTGTCCTGATTGTTAATTTTATGATAGTTTGGACACGTTGTGTGAATGCATCCAGAAGGAAAGCGAAGGAGATATTACTTTCTCAATCGATCCACTGAAGTCCAAGGGTACTCTCAAGAAAGACCTGTCGCTCATGACGCTATGGCTTCTTCTGCAGACTCATATTTTTTTTCTTTCGAAGCTCAGACGCTGACGCACAATCGGAAATATTGGAGACACTGTCTGACGTTGCTACCTCCATTACCTAAAAGAATTCGCTGTAATCAGAACTGACTGACTGTTTGCTTCAAGTTGACTTAATGCAGAGTTATGCCTTTACATACGGACCACCGGAATTATACATGTGCAGGCAAAACATATGTACTATCATGATGTATGCAACAGTGAAACATTAGAATTGTATTATTTCAAAAAGCAGGTTTATTGGCAATATGAGAATCGACTGGGTATTTTTACCATAACTGAACGTTTTCCTGTCGATTTAACATCGAATGATAGAGAATACTTAAAATTTTCGAAAAGCCTCTGTTCTGCATTGAATAGGCCTAAAGGGGTTTCGCACGTTGTCAGTTTTCTTATTTGTTACGTAAGTTCATTCACATTCATTGTCATATTCCACTGTTCATTTCTCATGAAGATGCAGTAGTCTCAAATAAATTTTCAAATTGCCGTTGTCAGAGACAAACTCATGGACTGGATTCCAAAACTGGACCATGTCGGGTGTTCGTTACACCTGAACCATCGGATGTTCGGTGCCATGCGACTCTGTGAAAGGTGTCATTTGCCTAAACCATTTCACTTGTGATCTCTGTTTAGAAAAGTATTAGATCATCTAGAGGGTATCTGAAAATATCGAACTTTGTCGATCCTTGACAACCAGCAGTTAACTTATATCACCTCATCATCATTTATGTAAATTGCATTATTCTTTTATTATGTAACCTCCGTACAGCGCTGTTGTTTTTCTTCAGGCCATGCTTAATGTCTATTTTGAGTATGGATGTACCAAAGGTGCGGTATTTAATTGTTGTCGTAAGAACCCTTTAATTTACTTCGCATGTTTAACAAATACTTGACTCTACGATCTGTCAAAGTCAGTGGACAAGAAAGGAAAGTTTCGTTACCTTTAGAATATCGTTCTTTGCAATTTCGTGATCGGTCTGTCCTGGCACCCTTATTTCCATGAAATTTTATGGCGCTGTGCTGATCTCTGTTTCTGCATCTTCAGCCATCAGTCAGTGGACTTAATCTTAGAGAGGTAACCACATCTATATAAGAGAGATGATCTCTGCAACGGAGAATCGACTATATTAAATGAAGAGAAGAGTAAAACTGGTAATTCCAAAATATTGAAAATGTTTTGATGTGGGAAGCTGCCCTGGTGCTTGAAACGGAAAGTTTTCGATCAGTGTTTATCGTAGTTTTAACCTAAGGGTACGAAACGTGGATCCTAATCTTGAAAACCGTTCATTTTTGTGCTGATTCGGCAGCAGCACGATAGATGTATGCTGGCATAACAATGGTTATGACCACTAACAGTAGTTTGCGATGTCATGGCCTAAATAAAGAATATAGGTGAGCAGTTGGCAGGACGATGGAGCGGCTATTGCCAGACCAGAGAGTCATCACATCTGAGTCTTCTGGAGATTAATTGGCTCATAAAAGACCCCCAGATCGATGGCAGGACGAGTTGAAGAAGTTCCTTCGATCAGTATAGTTAAGAATCGCAGAAAACATACCAGCAATGTCTTTCAGAGATCTTCTTCCAGCGCTGGATTGAAAATGATTGATGATTATGAAATCTTCGCATGGGTCTGTATCGACGACGGCTTTGGGCATAAAGCCCCTTTAACTGCCCATATCTTATTCCTCGGTGCATTGATGCAGCTGAGGACATTGCAGTAGCAGCATTTTCATGATTGACTACTAATTTTGCTTGCAGTTTTGTCCCCGCTGTCATATCATAATTGTATAATTATTGACTGATTTCTGCAGACTAAAACTTATTTATTAAACTTATTTGAATTTAGTTCATTGTGATCGCGTCAGACATATGTGACTTATTGGCGAGTCAAGGATACTGGGCTGAATTTATTGATCCTAATTCCGGGCGTCCGGTAAGCGAACTATTTTTTAAAAATTCTGTGTGATCTCTTGACCAGAATCGCGTACTTAACGGCATTGTAAAACTGTTGAGTAAATGAACTAAAAATCACACTTCAGCTGCAGCGAACTTCTGGCTTAAGTTTTGGTATAAGTTAACAAAGTTACAGATTGAAAGTGATGTGGTTATGTTCTGATTCCGTGATTAGAAAAAAATTGTATTGTACACGGTTTCATAGTTGGGACAAAACTGTATAGGTATGACTAATTTGTGAATAAAGAAAAGCGTTACAGCCTCTATTCATCTACAGCACGGTTTCTGTATAAATTTCAGAAGTTACCTAATTAAACTGAAGGCATGAACCGGCATTGGCGACATTTTTCTGCATTCAGGCGTCAAATAATTTTACAGCTTTTATTTGTGAAATTCGATGCACCTCCCGGCGTTAAGCTGTTTCGAACGTTAAGCGAGGTTAAAGCCTCTGAGAATGTATGAGTCTAACGTACAGGTGTTAAGTTTAATTTCATAGCGAAGAAAGTGGTATCACGATGGAAAAATTCTCTCCATGCTATTGTGTTACACTTAGGCACCTCCTCATAACCTGCCTCAGCCTTAAATGAAAATGATGATTACAAAACCGACGTTCATCACCGTTTAGGAATGGCAATATATGTGCAACGTGTCCGGACCGACGGAAATAAGACAAAGTCAGGGCGCTTGAAACGAAAATCGCACCAGGCTGAAACTTGTCAAAACTGTTTTCTGATCTGTGGCAGCTTGAGCAGACCGACGCAGACCATCTAGTACACTAACAAAAGTAACTTCGGGACCATATATATAGTTTCTGTAGACATCTTTGCCTTTTACATTTTAAATGTTTGTTACTTCAGTTGCCTATAAACGATAAATGAACTTCTGTTTTTTATTTCATTACATCGAAGACGATGTGAGATATGGTATATCGAATATATGCGTGTTCAGTCGTCAGATCTTTCCATTTCTTTGGAGATCTTTTTGGCAGGTATCTGCTATCAGGTTGTGCGTTTAGTATTACGTCGGATGTTGTCGTTCCTTGGCAATGGCCCCTTTATATTACACGCTCTGCTTGCAGCCAATTAATCACTCGTTTGATATTCCAAGCTCTGTCTTACAACAGCATGCTAGTATTAATCTTAGAATCCACATTTTCATCGTTTCCAATTTTTTGCACCTTAGTTAAGCAATGCGCTATCCAAGCGATAGTTCATAGACGATGTTCATAGTGCAAGCCCTGTATATTGGCAGCTTGGTGTTATTGCCAACATTTTTCTTTGCAGAGCTTCAGTAATTGATTCTTCGCTGCAAATGATAACCCGTTGTCTTAATTTAATTAATTAACTTAATTTAATTCTTAATTTCGTTTGTCCCTCTTTCGTAAGCAGTCAGTGTATTTCCAAGATATACATGTTCTGGTATCTTTACCACAGCTTCAGTGTCAATAAGTCAGATTCAGATAGTCTTTGGTCTGGGTTATACCAATTTTCATCCACTTCGTCTTCTTTAAATTAATTGAGAGACCTAGACTAAAGTGCCTGTTTCAGAGTTACAAGCGAGCAATGAAGCTACAGTTTCAAAGTTGTCTGTTACCAGTAAGATCTTCTTCATCTTCATCTTCCACCGCCGCTTCTCCTTTCGGGTCGCGGAGGCAGACGCGCCAGACAGTGCTTCCAACGTTCCCGAACCTGTGCCAGAGTCTGAGTTTCGGCAAAAGACAATTGCAGCCTGGAACAGATTCCTTCCATATGTTTGCGCCAGGTTAATCTTGGCCGTCCCTGGGCCTTTTGCTTAGCCTTCCTTTCTGGAGG